TCACTAGTCCAAGTGATCAATTTCAGTTCACAATTGATCATAATGAAAGGACTAAGAGTCAAAGGGAGCACATAAACAAGTCTTTTTTATTTTTGTGGTATCTGTTGCTACACTTCCTTTTTCATCTCTGATTTTGTTGATTTGGGTATTTTCCTCTTTTGTTTTGGTTAATTGGGCCAATGGTGTATCAATTTTGTTAATTTTTTTCAAAAAACCAGTTCTTAATTTCATTTATTTTTATTATCTTGTTTCAATTTTGTTTATCTCTTCTTTAATTTTAATTATTTTTTCCTCCTATAAATTTGGGGTTTGGTTTGTTGTTTTCTATGTCCTTGAGATGTACTGATAGCTCATTTATTATTATTTTTTCAAGAAGACACCAATAAACTTCCCTATGAACTTCACTCTTCACACTGCCTTTGCTGTATCCCATAAATTTCGATATGCTGTATTGATGCCCTCATTCATTTCAAGAATTTTTTATTTCTCTTGATTTCTTGACCCACTGTTCATCCAAGAATATGTTGTTCCATTTTCATGTGTTTGCATATTATCTAGAGATTCTTGAGTTGATGATTTCCAACTTCATTCCATTGGTTAGAGAAGACACAATGTATGATTTCAATTTTTTTGAATTTGCTGACTTGCTTTTTGGCCTAGCATATTGTCTGTCTTAGGGAGATTCCATGTATTCATGAGAAGAATGTATATTCTGTACTGTGGGATGAAATGTTCTGTAGATGTCAGTTAGGTCCATTTGATCCATAGTGTCAATTAGCTCTGTTGTTTCTTTGTTGATTTGCTGTCAAATGATCCGTCCATTGATGAAAATGGGTTGTTGATTCCACCATTACTATTGTATCAGAGTCTATGTCTCCCTTTACACTCATTAATGTTTCTTCTAAATAGCCAAGCACCCTGTAATTGGGTGCATATACATTTGTTTTAGTCATCTCTTCCTGTTGAATTGATCTCTTAATCATTACATAGTGCCCTTCTTTGTCTCTTTTAAAAGTTTTTGTGTTAAAGTCTATTTTGTCTGATATTAGGGTGGGTACACCTGCCCATTTTTGCTTTCCATTAGCATGGAATATCTTTTTAATCCTTTTGCTTTCAGTCTGCATGCATCTTTGCTGGTGAGATGTGTTTCTTATAGGCAGCAAATAGGTGGGTCTTGTTTTTCAATCCATTCAGCCAGGCTGTATCTTTTAGCTGGAGAGTTGAGGCCATTTTAGGTAACTATTGATACATAACAACTTGGACCTGCCATTTTTTCCATAAATATTCATATTGTTTACTTTGGGTTTCTTTTGTACTTTTTTATTTTTTTATTTTTATTTATTTATTTATTTATTTATTTTTGACAGGCAAAGTGGACAGTGAGAGAGAGAACAGAGAGAAAGGTCTTCCTCTGCCGTTGGTTCACCCTCCAATGGCCGCCACAGCCAGCGCGCTGCGACTGGCACACTGCGCTGATCCGATGGCAGGAGCCAGGTACTTATCCTGGTCTCCCATGGGGTGCAGGGCCCAAGGACTTGGGCCATCCTCCACTGCACTCCCTGGCCACAGCAGAGAGCTGGCCTGGAAGAGGGGCAACCGGGACAGAATCCGGCGCCCCGACCGGGACTAGAACCCGGTGTGCCGGCGCCACAAGGCGGAGGATTAGCCTAGTGAGCTGCGGCGCCGGCCTCTTTTGTACTTTTACTGGGGGATTTTCTGCTTTCACAATGATGGCTATCTTTCTGTTTTTCTGTAGGTAGCACATCCTTAAGCATCTTTTGTAAGGCTGGGTAAGTGGTGACAAATTCTTTCAATTTCTGTTTGTTATGGAAGGTCTTTATTTCACCTTCATTTATAAATGAAAGCTTTGCAGGGTACATTACTCTGCATTGACAGTTTTTCTTCAGTTAGCAGATGAAATGTCAAGTGTCTGGGAACCCTGAATTAGGTTTTAGCCATTCACATGAGAGACTTGAATTAGTTATCAGCCTTCTGAGTTTGGCCTGGCCCAGTCCTGACTGTTATAGGCATTGGGAAGTGAGCCAATAGATAGAAGATCAATCTCTCTCTCTCTCTCTCTCTCTCTCCCCCTCTCCCTCTCTCCATCCTTCCCTCCTTTCCTCCTTCCCTTCTGTCTTCTGACAGGTGCAGACAAACCACCTTTCAAGTAGATGAAAATAACAAATAAACAAACTTTTAAAAAAATCTCCATGGAAAAATGTATATTATGAAAAGACTATACACAGATTTCAAAAAAAAAAAATTTACCCCAAATTTAAATCTCATTTTCCATGAACTTGTACAGCATTCCCTAGGGATTTTTGGTAGCTCCAGACAGATAGTGAATGTGTGTTGTTTTGGATTAGAGCCAACTCACTTAAGCATGAGGGCCTGTCATAATCACTACCTATTCTGGGGAAAGTCTACCTTCCATTTTGGCTGAATTTCAATTGTCATTTTTCCTTTACAAGTAATGGACATACTTTTGGTATTCTGTATAGACTGGCATGCTCAGGTGACAGCTCTGTAATTATGCATAAAAAGCCTCTCTCCGGTCATTCTGGCCCCATCTAGCACAAGCAGGGCAGGCCTTTACAGGAACTAGTTTCTTGGTTGCTTTAACCATTCAACACAGAGAAGGAAGTTAGCAGTTAGAAGGACTTCGTTAGTGTTCACTTGGGTGTCGTAGACATAGCTTGGACTCTGCATTTCTATGTGATGATCTTATCTTTGACTCCCAAACATAAAGGATCCTGCCTGCAGAAGAGATTTTTTAAGAGCTGGAAGGAGTGAAGGGAGAGGTTGTCTGTTATATGGGACACTGGATCCATGGAGGTCAGCAATGTCAGTAGGTACACCAGTTTGGCTGTTTTTTTTTTTTTATTTTATTTGACAGGTGTAGAATTACAGACAGTGAGAGAGGTCTTCCTTCGGTTGGTTCACTCCCCAAATGGCTGGGACAGACGGGAACCAGGAGCTTCTTCCTGAGGGCGCAGGGGTCCAAGCACCTGGGCCATCCTCCATGGCTTTCCCAGGCCACAGCAGAGAGCTGGCCTGGAAGAGGAGCAGCCAGGACTAGAACCGGCGCCCATATGGGGTGCCAGCACCACAGGCAGAGGATAACCCTAGTGAGCCACGGTGCTGGCCCCCAAAATATGGCTCTTTTTGGTTGTACAGCCATTGTGTTAAATGTCTTGTGCCACCAGGGGGAGCTCTGAGTTTATTATCGGCACAATAGCAAAGATTGGGACTTTCTGCCAGGTTTTTTTCTCTTGATGCCTGACTCGTTAAAAAATGAATGCAGTTTTCTGTACTCTTGTGGGAGAAAATCCCTATATAGAAATAAAAACTTTCATGATTGTTCCCTTTATACTTTTAAAACATTCACTAGCTGAGTGATTTTGGGATAGTTCCTATAATTCTTTTAGACTTAGTTTTTTCTCTTGTAGAATAGCAATAATGTAAATGTGCCCACCTATAAGGTGCTTACTAAGAATATCAAATAAAATTATGTACAAAGGTGCTTAGCACAGTAAATGTTTCATTAGAATCCCTCAATGGGGCCAGTGCTGTGGCATAGTAGGTTAATACTCTGCCTGCGGTGTCAGCATCTGATATGGGCGCTGGTTCTAGCCCTGGCTGCTCCTCTTCTGATGCAGCTCTCTGCTATGGCCTGAGAAAGCACTAGGAGATGGCCCAAGCACTTGGGCCTCTGTATCCGCATGGCAGACCTGGAAGAAGCTCCTGGCTCCTGGCTTTGGATCAGCACAGTTCCAGCCATTGTGGCCATTTGGGAAGTGAACCAGCAGATAGAAGACCTTTCTATCTGTCTCTCCCTCTCGTTGTCTGTAAATTCTACCTCTTAAATAAATTAATAAAAATATTAAAAAAATGAATCCCTCAGCAAATGGCAACTGTTTTAAAGAATAAATAATAAGTGCCCCAAGTGACTAAGGGGCTCAGTACTAAGAAAAGAATCTGGCCAGTTGCATATATTGTCCAGGAGATCAAAGAGCTCCTAGAAAAGCTTTGTTTTCCCATGGAAAAAACTAGTGCCCTCCTTACCACATCTGAAAATCCCTTTTTCCTAGGCCTTGCCTTCTTTCCCTTTGCTCCTGGCTATACACTTTGCCTAAAACTGGACTTAATCTGTTACCCTGTCTTGGATTTGGTATTAGTGACTGTGTGGCCACAGAGATGCAGTGCACAAGGAAAACCAGATAGGATATTTCCGCAATTCTATCCAAAGACAATGGGGACCAGAATAGATGTAGTTTGTTGACATAAACGATCAAACAAGAAACCAAAAACCTCATTACAACAAAACAAAACTCTAGTGGTGGTGGGGATACTATCCAGTTGGCTAGATAGGATTATTGTCATTCTGGTGCTTATACCCTGATAACAGAGACTGTCAGTTATCCTGGGAGACCCACATATTTTAGCTGTCCCATGAAGAATGATATAACGCACTTAATGGTCATGGAAGTGCCCAGGATCTTGCCCTTAGCCTTGGGCACACACAAATATTGAAATATCCTGCCAGAGGGCCAGAGCATCTCTCAGATAACAGTGAAAGATTGGACTAAACATCTTAGCTGACATATTCTTCTGGCTGCCCTGAGGGCCAACCAAATTCTAACGTTATAGCCAGAGAACCTGGAGCAAAGTACAAACAGTGGGTACTCCAAGTTCTAATCCCTGAACACCTGCTTGCCTCTTTCTTTTCAGTCCCATAAAGGTTAATGCCACATTTTTTTCTTCTGTTAGGTTCAGGTCCCCCTATTGTGTCTTACCTTGTGTAGTCCATGTGGCTCCCTTGGATTTTTGAACTCCTCCAAGGCATGGTCCAGAAACAATGCTATTAGGCAGCACATTTTACAAACAATATGTAATAAGTGCTCAGCTTTTTAAAATATGGATGGTTACATAAAACAAGTTGAAATTAAAACCAACATGTTGACTTTTGTGATATAAATAGTTTATTTTACAAAATAAAATGTTAAATAAAGAATAAAATACTTCATAAATTAATAAAAGAATAAACATACTTCTTAAGTTAATAAAAAATTTAAAGTCTTGTATTGTCCTTTCACATGCAGTTTATGAGCTGGCAGTCACTCCAGGTACCTCTGTTGGTTGACAAATTCCTGATCATTGCCGAGTTCCAGAGGCAGAAACATCCGTTTTAGAGGTAATCTATGAGCATGATGATAAAGGAAAAGTTCCTGAAGATTTCCAACTGGACTATTTTCCAGGCACAGTTGCTATACTGCTTGGTCTCCAGATAATCCATGATCCTCCAGTAATAGCTCTTCAGGCGTAGATTCATTCTGATGCTCTCCAAGGTTACCTTTTTGTTTATTTTGCTCTTCAGATGATGAATCTGCAAATGGGTTTCACCAAGAAGGTTCTCAACAAGGGTCTCATTCCAGCCAGTGCTAGAGAAATTTTTTCTGAAAATGTCAAAGATGTTGTTGAGCATTTCAAAGATAACCAAGGTGGTGTCTTCTTTCTGGAGCTGTTGTGGTTCCTTAATCTCCTTGGGGACTTTGAAGTTTATCCTCTCATTGAGGCAGTCCTCAGTCGTTCCATTCAACTGGAGCAGGAGCTTCGCACACGTCAGACTTCCGTGCCATAGTTGGATCTGAAGCGAGTTGTAGCTCATGGATAGAGCTGTGGTGGAGAAGCACAACAGGAGAGCGATTTGAAGGATACACCTGTTGATCATGATGAAAACAGGAGCAGTGTCGCTTACTACCCGTGTGCTGGAGCAAAGACTGCCAAAGTCCACAGTCTGCAGCGAGAGTGGCCTCTATCCATGAGTATGGGCTCTTATATGGGATGGTCTTTTCTATTTCACAGGAATTTCCCACTTTCAGTTCTCCCTTTCAGTTTTCCTATGTCACTTGGATCTTTGAAATTCTTTTTATTTAAACTCCTATTTTATTATATATATATTAGGGAAAAAGATAGTGCAAACTGTGGGTACTTCAAATGTTTTATAAAGTTTCAATTAATTACTAAATCAAAGAGAAAAATAAATAAGAGGACCTGGAATAAAGAAAAGGAAAGCAAAGTATCTGATAACTCAAGAACTCAAAAACAGCTGAGAGGAATTAGCTGAAAAGCCAATCAGAAGATAGCAGCTCGTAGTGGAAACGTATCTGCAGGTTATTGTGTGAGTACATGAGAAAAGTGCAGTAAATTGTTGCAGGCAATGGCATAGTGGAAGGTAGGAGAAATTTTCAAAGCCAATCAGCCATAGCTCCCTTTGGGATATGGGCCTACACTGAGGAGAAATTGCTACAAGTAGAATCACATTTGAGCTGAGGACAAACAAAAGAGAGGGGGAAAGGGACCACCAGGCCAGTGTGGGAGTGCACAACTAGGAAAGTGAGCTGCCATGATTTTGAGTACTTCATAAAAGCAACAGAAGAGGGAGCTCTGTCAAATTAGGAAAAAACACTCTGAATCTAGACGCTTGGGAGAAATTAACTCCTATTAAATAAAACAACAGAAAAGTACTCAGTGGGACTCTCATACAAACTTTTTATTAGAAAAATTAGAAAAAGAAGTGGATTGATATCTATAAAAATAACAAAAACATTCTAGGAGTAATGCATATAAACAGATCAAAACTGTAACCTACCATTACCAAAGGGGTTTAAAATTTTAGTAATATAAAACAACATAAATAGGAATTGGAAAAACTCAGAAATGAAATAAGATATATAGGAAATAATTCTAAATAAAGAAAAATTCTCTATTTTACTAAGATATAAGTATCATCACAAGAAATGAGAAGTTTGAGGGGAAGCTGATGATGGAGAAAAGCTTCAATCTGGGAAATAAGCAACTCAAATCCAACAGTATATAAGAAGTAGTGTATATTGATCAAGAGGAGTCATTTCCAGCAAAGTGAATATGGTTCAATATTATATAGCCCATAGAAAACTATAGGGTACAGATTACAAAGTCAAATGACACAAATCTAGAATAAAATTGGAGAATATTAAAATAATATTGGAGTAAGGAATATATTTTTTTTTCTTTTTTTTTTTATTTTTGACAGGCAGAGTGGACAGTGAGAGAGAGAGACAGAGAGAAAGGTCTTCCTTTGCCGTTGGTTCACCCTCCAATGGCCGCCACAGCCAACGCGCTGCGGCCGGCGCACCGCGCTGATCCGATGGCAGGAGCCAGGAGCCAGGTGCTTTTCCTGGTCTCCCATGGGGTGCAGGGCCCAAGCACCTGGGCCATCCTCCACTGCACTCCCGGGCCACAGCAGAGAGCTGGCCTGGAAGAGGGGCAACCGGGACAGAATCCGGAGCCCCGACCGGGACTAGAACCTGGTGTGCCGGCGCCGCTAGGCGGAGGATTAGCCTAGTGAGCCGCGGCGCCGGCCAGGAATATATTTCTAAGAAAGATATAAAACCAGAGGCTATAATAGAAAATATTTATAAATGTTACTATAGAAAAATTATAAATTTTAATATGAAAGAATCATGCAAAGATGAAGAGCTATATTAAAAACATTATAATACACAAAGAGAGATCATTTTCTTCACTTAAGAAAAACTTCTAACATTAATAAAAGTCTAATAGAGAAGGTTATATATGGCTAAATACAGGAAAATAAATGTCACAGAGCAATAGTTATGAATTCTGCTCATATTATTAAGAAATGCAAATTGTTCAAAATCACTGAAGAGTTGTGACCAACATTCACTTCTGCCTCCATAGAGAAGAACCAAAACATCCAATAAACACAACTGCATTTCGAGGTGAGTACCAGAGAGAAAACACTGGAACTTAGCAAGAGAATAAAGGAAACCCTGTCAGACATGGAGATCTGGGATGACAGCATACAAAGAGGAACAATGTTAACTAGCAACTGTAATTCTGGTCCCATGGTGGGAGGGATCCCTATTTCAGGGGGAAGGGTAAACAGGAGAACCTCAGCAGAGCCCAGCTCCATGGGTGCATTATGCTAGTGAGCCCAGCTACAGAAGAAAGCCACAATCATCACAAGCTTGGGACTTAGTCAGGGGAGCTAATTGGAGTACATGTGGTAGCTTTGTTTTGGAGAAGGATCTCACATCATCTACCCCATATATCTGAGAGCACAGGCTGTGACAGTGTTATGCTATCTTGGAAAAAGTGTCACTGTTGATACCCATATTTCCCTAGGGAACAGAAATCTCTGGATATCTCTATCCTTGGGAAGCCGCAGACACTCTACCACTTTAGCAGAAATACTGCAGCTTCCATATCCAGCTAGATCCCTCAGAACAACTGTGACCCAGCACCCTAGCCCATGCAGCCCTCTGAACTACAAGGGATGAGGTCCAGAACAGCAAGGTTATCCTGCCTTCAGGGCCCTAGAAGTAGGGGCACTTGCCTCCACAAACTTGGGAACTGTTCTTCCCTACTTTCTCTCCTTCTCCCACCACGTGGAACACTGCTTGCTCCTGCTTGACTTTCACTTACTAGGACAGCTGATCAGGACTCCCATGACCTCAGCCCTATTCCCAAAGGCTTCTGTCCCATCTGTGGAGTCATGGTTAAGACTGTATGCAACCCCAGACCTCAGGTACCTTCTAGAATTGTGTGCCCCATTTGGGTTTCTTGTCAGTAGAACTCCTGAAAACACATCACATTCCCACAAGTGCCACTGTGTCTGGGGTCCCATCCCCACCTCCTTGGGCTGCTGGTATGGCACCCCACTGATACTTCAGGTTGGTGAACCATCATTGCCATGGTTTACTGCCAGACTGCTTCTCCCTTCAGAACTTCAGGCTGGTGTTCCTGTAACCCTAGCCCTCAACCACACTACCATCAGTTGCAGCTGTGACCTACTTCACCCTCACAGGACGATGGGCTGGTGTTTTCACCACCTCAGCCCAGTGGATTGCAACCATGGCTGTATATCTTAGACTATTGCCAGTACCACTTCCATGACCTTGACCTCACCCTTGTGGACTGATTAAAGGGTTTGAATCCATCCCCATTGCTTTAGGTGGCTGCTGGGAACTAAGATGGCCTAGTATTGGATCTCATGCTCCATCACCACTATCATGGCATTCCATTTCTGGACTCGCATAACTCCACAGGAAATGAGGAATGATCATATCCCACCACCACCACTGATTAAAACAGAAGCTACAAAGAGTCTTCATTACATAGTTATTAGAAATAAAATGGAACTTAGTAGCTGAACCAAAATTCAGACACAACTTCAGGAAAGGAGCTTTTACCATGAAATCTATCCTGTAAAAGTGCCAGACACAACTGATCCATAAATAATGTAAATATCAGCATAGAGACACAAGAAGTATGAAAACGTAAGATAAAAATATGCCTACAAAGGAATACAATAACACTTTAATAACAGACTAAATAAAAAAGGGATTGATAAAATACCTGTTAAAGAATTTAAAAACTGATTATAAGAATACTCAAAGAGATTTTTGATAATTCAGACAGCTAGCCAAATGAAATCAGAACCACGTGTGATATGAATGAGAAATTTGGCATAGAGGTAGAGATCTTGAAAAAGAACTAAAAAGGAATCTTGGATATAAAAAAATCTAACAAATCAAACAAAAAGTACAGCTGAAAACATTAACATAGATAACCAGAAAAAGCAGTATCTGAACTTGAAGACAGGTCCTATGACCTATACAACTCAAAAAAATAAAAGAAAAATAAAGAATTAAGACAGTCACTGAGACTGCTGAGGCATTATTAATTAAACAAATACTTAAATTTTGCTAGATAATTTAAGAATAGAGGAGTATGGGCATAGGAAGCTGATTCAGCTCAAAGCTTTCCCAAGTTGAAGAAACAAATGGACCTCCAAGCACAAGACTCATACGACTCTAAATAAACAGGACCAGAAAAGATCCTCACCACTACATGTTATAGTCAAACTCTCAAAAGTACAACACGGGAGCTAGTGCTGAGGTGTAGTGGGTTAAGCCACTATCTACAGTTCTGCCATCCCATATGCGTGCTGGTTCAAGTCCTGGCTGCTCTACTTCTGATCCAGCTCCTACTAATGCACCTGGGAAGGCAGGAGGTGCATGCTATACTCACATGAGAGACCTGGATGTATCACCTGGCTCATGGCTTTAGCCTGGCCCAGCTCTGGCTGTTGCAGCCATTTGGGGAGTGAACCAACAGATGGAAAATCAATCTCTTACTCTCTCTCTCTCTCTCAATCTCTGCCACTCCTTTTCTATAACTATGACTTTCAAGTAAACATGTGTCAATTACTATACATAGTGAGAGATAGGGATCTAATTTCTTCATATATACATCCCGTTTTACCAGCACAATTTATTGAAGAGACTATCCTTTCTCCTATGCATGATCTGGGCATTTTTGTAATAAATCAGTTGGCTGTACATACATGGATTAATTTCTGGACTCTCTGCAAGACTGTCAGGCATCCCCAGCCTCCCAGTATACTACAGGCTCTGGGGATCAAGCTGCCTAGGCAGAGTTGGCTCTGAGAACATCCGCCTCTCTGTGGACTGGACAGGTTGGCAGGGCAGGGCAGAACCTCTGCACCCAGCAACTGGAAGCCTTGTGTGCTGAAACTGGGGCGACTCTGTGACTGCACAAGAGCTCATTTCCCACCACCTCACTATAAGACCTCTGCGCCTTCTGAGGCTGCTGTTGTGGCAGTGGTGTCTGAGTCTCCTTCAGTTGTGTCAGTGGTACAAGGTATGCTCCAGGAAGTCAAGGAGCAAGGAGAATTACCAATGTTAACTGTTTGTCCTGTGTTCAGCCTCAAAATGTAGCTCCCCATCATGAACATCTTCCCTATAATGTTTATAAAGAGTTAAAAATGACCTTAACAGAGTACAAGATGCAGAGTTCTTATATAGTGGACATATTGGAGGGAATTGGGGGAGGAGATGAGATGGTGCCATGGAATTGGAAAACTCTAGTAAACATTTTGATTATCCCAGCCTAGTACACTGTTTGGGCTCAAGAATATTGGGATTTTGCTTTTATACAAGCCATAGTTAATTTAAATAACAATGTATCTATTAATTTAGAGCAGTAGTTAGGAGAAGGCATTTTTATCATTCCTGAAGTAATAGATGCTCATTAACAGGGATTATTTATGTTCAGTTGCGGCCAAACTTACCCCAAGAACTTCCCTCTCAAACTTACGTTTCTCAGCTATTTGTCCTGCCATATACTTCTACCTCTAGTAAAGATGTTTTGCAGAAAACCAGGACTTTAGATCTATGCTAGTGGCTGCCATTGCTCAAATTTCTAATAATCGTCCTTATGTAACTATACAGATTGACTCTTAGGAGTTGTCAGGGTCAATTGATACTAGCACTGATGTCTCTGTTATTCTTTTAACACAGTGGCCTGCCTTTTGGCCTTCATTTTCTGCTGACCCTGTGTGGGGAATAGGTGGCAATTCCAAACCCGACAAAGTCATAAATGGCTAGCTTGTTACAATCCAACTGATAATCATCTTGTTGTTCATATCCATGCTTATACTCTTCTATTCCTTTCCCTATCTGGGGACAAGATCTTCTACAATAATTTCAGGCCACAATTCATACATATTTATAACAAGTGCCTCCACTTGTAGACCCCTGCAACATACCGCTTTCCCCTTGACCTGGCTGCCCAATCAGCTCAGTCAGTAGAGTGTGAGACTCTTTTGTATTATTATTTCAGAAGTAGAGTTACAGACACTTAGAGGGAAAGACAGAGAGAAAGGTCTTCCTTCCATTGGTTCACTCCCCAGATGGCCGCAACAGCTGGAGCTGTGCTGATCTGAAGCCAGGAGCCAGGTGCTTTTTCCTGGTCCCCAATGCGAGTGCAGGGGCCCAAGCACTCAGGTCATTTTCTACTGCTTTCTCAGGCCACAGCAGAGAGCTGGATTGGAAAAGGAGCAGCCGGGACTAGAATCCGTGCCCATATGGGATGCCGATGCCGCAGGCGGAGGATTAACCTACTGTGCCACAGCACTGGCCCCAAGCATGAGACTC